CTGATCCACACTACTCATCGACACTTCTGAGCGACACCTGACCAACACTTCTGAACGACGCTTCTGAGCAACACTTCTGAGCAGCGACGCTTCTTCTGATCGACTTTTCTGAGCAACACTTCTCATCGACAGTTCAGAGCAACACTTCTGAACGACACTTCTGAGCAACACTGCTGAATTGACACTTCTGAGCAACACTTCTGAGCAACACTTCTGATCGACGCTCAGAAGTGTCAAACAGAAGTGTGGGTCAGAAGTGTTGCTCAGAAGTGTTGATGAGAAGTGTCCTCAAAAGTGTCGATCAGAAGCATCCATCAGAAGTGTTGTTCAGAAGTGTCGCTCAGAAGTGTCAATTCAGCAGTGTTGCTCAGAAGTGTCGTTCGGAAGTGTCTATGAGCAGTGTGGATCAGAAGTGTTGGTCAGAAGTGTTGCTCAGAACTGTCGATGAGAAGTGTTGATCAGGTGTCGCTCAAAAGTGTCGCTCAGAAGTGTCAATCAGAAGTGTTGCTCAGAAAAGTCGATCAGAAGAAGTGTCGCTCAGAAGTGTTGCTCAAAAAGTGTTGCTCAGAAAAGTCGATCAGAAAAAGTGTCGCTCAGAAGTGTTGCTCAGAAGTGTGGGTCAGAAAAAGTATAGTTCAGAAGTGTTGATCAGGCGTCGCTCAAAAGTGTCGCTCAGAAGTGTCAGTGAGAAGTGTGGGTCGGAAGTGTTGATGAGAAGGGTTCCTCGACACTTTTGAGCGACGCCCGATCAACACTTCTGAACCACATTTTTCTGATCGACACTTCTGAGCAACACTGCTGAGCGATACTTTTTCCGATGGACTTTTCCGAGCAACACTTCTTATCGACACTTGTGAGCAACACTTTTCTTGATCCGCACTTCTGATTGACACTTCTGATCGACAGTTCGAGCAACACTGCTGAACCACACTTCGGACTGACACTGGTGAGCAACACTTCTCATCGACAGTTCTGAGCAACACTTCTGAGCAACACTTCTGAGCAACACTTCTGAGCAACACTTCTGATCCACACTGCTCATCGACACTTCTGAACGACACTTCTGAGCAACACTGCTGAGTTGACACTTCTGAGCGACACTTCTGAGCAACACTTCTGATCGAGACTTCTGATCGACACTTTTGAGGAACCCTTCTCATCAACACTTCTGAGGAACACTTCTGACCCACACTTCTGATCGACACTTTTGAGCGACATTCCTGTCGAGCACTTCCGAGCAACACTTCTGACCGACACTTCTGAGCAACACTTCAAACCGAAGCTTCTGAGCAACACCATTGAGCAAGACTTCTGATCTACACTTAGGAGTTACACTTCTGAGCGACACTTCTGGCCACATCCTGCCCATCGACACTTCTGAGCGACACTTCGGAGCAACACTGCTGAGTTGACACTTCTGAGCGACACTGCTGAGCAACATTTCTGGCTGACACTTCTGCGCAACACTTCCGGGCAACACTTCTGATCGACGCTTCTGATCGACACTTGTGAGCAACACTTCTGAGCAACACTTCTGACACACACACTTCAGAGCAATACTGCTGATTCCACACACCTCTGACCGGCGCTACGATCGACAGTTCTGAGCAAGGATGCTTCTAATCCTTACTTCTGATCGATACTTCAGAGCGACACTTCTGCGCAACACTTCTGAGGGAGCAACACTTCTGATCCACACTGCTCATCGACACTTCTTAGCAACACTTCTGATGGACTCTTCTGATCGACACTTCTGGTCAGCACTTCTGATCAACACTGCTGAGCAACACTTCCGACCGACACTTCCGAGCAACACTTTTGAGCGACACTTCTGATTCGACACTGCTGACCGACACCCCTGACCGACGCCTCTGATCCACAGTTCTGAGCAACGCTTCTGACCGATGCTTGTGATCGGCACTTCCGAGCAACACTCCTGAGCAAACACACACACACACATGTAAGCGACGCTTTTGAGCGACACTTCTGAGAGACACCTCTGAACAACACTTCCGGGCAACACTGCGCGGCACTCCTGAGCGACACTCTGAAAACACCTGTGAGCGACACGTCTGAGCCACACACAATCAGCAACACTGCTGCCTGAGCGACAACTTGAGCAACATTTCTACACACATATCTCAGCGACATGAGCGACGCTCCTGAGCGACACTTCTGAGCGACGCCTCTGAGCAATGAGCCACACCTGAGCAACACTTTTTGAGCACACTTCTGATCAAAACTTCCGAGCAACAGGTCTGCTGAGTTGACACTTCTGAGCGACACTTCTGAGCAACACTTTTGACTGACACTTCTGAGCCACACTTTTGAGCGATACTCTGAACCACACTTCTGATTGACACTTCTGAGCAACACTTCTGATCTGATCAACAGCAGTTCTAGTTCTGAGCAACGCTTCTGACGACATTTCTGAGGGACACGTCTGCGCAACACTTCTGAGCAACACTTCTGTTCGACGCTTCTGATCGACACTTTTGAGCAACACTTCTGAGCGACACTTCCGAGCAACACTTCTGTCCACACTTCCGACTGATACTTCTGCGCGACACTTTTGATCGACGCTTCTGAACGACACTTCTAATCGACGCTTCTGAACGCACTTTGCGCGCTCAAAATGTTCACCGTGCCACAGCGAGAGTCATTCGACCCGCCCGATGTGCGCAGAGGCTTCGCGTCGCGTGCTCAAAATGCGCACCGACCCAAAGTGCGCAGAGGGCTCGCTTCGCGTTCTCAAAAAGTGCACCGCGCCACAGCGAGCGCGATTTGACCCACCCAAAGTGCGCAGAGGGTTCGCTTCGCGCTCTTCAAATGTGCACCGCCCGCGATCTCGCTGAGTCAAAGTGACGTGCTTGCCATTCAAAATGCGCGCCGCACCAGAGAAAAAACGATTCGACCCACCCAAAGTGCGCAGAGGGCGCCACAGCGAGAGCGATCTCGCTGAGTGAAAGTGACGTGCCTGCCACGAAATCTACCCAGGTGCCAAAGTAATGCGCCTGCCACGAAATTTGCACAAAAAGCTCCAAAGTGCTGCGCCTGCCACGAAATTCAGCCACGAAAGTACTGCGCCTGTCACGCAAAGTAAGCTTGCCACAAACTCAAAATCATCCAAAGTGCTGGACCTGCCACGAAACCCAACTTTGACACGTTTACGACACGCATCCAAAACTAGCGCGGGACTGTGGCGCCAGAATGATTTCGACCAATTTTGACATGTTTCAGGCCCGCCAAAACGAGTCGATTGTACGACAGGGCCAACGAAAGCGGCGCCGGCGCAAACACTATCACGCGCCTGCCAAGCCCCTGGATTGCAAGTCCCACTGGCACGGCAACGAGAACACGCAGCCTGCCAAAAGATTGCGCCTGCGCAGCGAAAACACGTCGAGCTTGAGAAGCTATGATTCGCGCACAGGGCGAACGAAAACAGCGCAGCACAAGTCATCAAAACTCACGCGTTCTGCGCTTCCCCACTGGGAGAGCCATAGCGCAATCATACGGACGGTTGCGGACGGTTGCGCAACATCCGGCGAACAAGGCTTGACTTCCAGACCCCCAAGATGAAACGAAAACCCTACGCTACGCATTCGGGAAAAAAGAAGAAACAAACAAACAAACAAACCAGAAAACAAACAAAGAAGCAAACAAACAAACAAAAAAAGTTACACAAACAAACAATCCAACGAACAAGCACACACACAAACAAACGAACAATTAATCAATCAAACAATCAAACAAGCAAACAAACAAACAGACAAACAAACAAGCACACACAAACAAACAAACAAACAAACACGCAAACAAATATCCAATCAATCAAACAATCATACAAACAAGCGCACAAACAAACAAGCACGCAAACAGCCAGCCAATCAATCAAACAAACCTACAAACAAGCGCACAAACAAACAAACAAACAAGCAAACAAACAAACAAAGAGACAAACAAAAAACAAAAATAACACAAACAAACAAACAAACAATCAAATGAACAAGCACACACACAAACAAACAAACAATTAATCAATCAAACAAACAAACAAACAAACAAACAAACACACAAACACACAAACAAGCAAACAAACAAACAAAGAGACAAACAAAAAGCAAAAATAACACAAACAAACAAACAGTCAATCGAACAAGCACACACACAAACAAACAAACAAACAAACAAACAAACAAACAAACAAACAAACAAACAAACAAACACACAAACACACAAACAAGCAAACAAACAAACAAAGAAACAAACAAAAAGCAAAAATAGCACAAACAAACAAACAATCAAACGAACAAGCACACACACAAACAAACAAACAATTAATCAATCAAACAAACAAACAAGCGAACAAGCAAACACACAAACGCACAAACACATACACTAAGAAAGACACAAATAGACAAACAAACAAGAAACAATACAAAGAAACCAACAACCAAACAAACAAACAAAAAAATAATCAAACAAACAAACACACATACATACATACATACATACATACATACATACATACATACATACATACATACATACAAACAACAGCTTCAGCAACAAGCGCATTAGCCACAGCGCCAGAAACAGCAACAGCAACAGCAACAGCAGCAGCAACAACAGCAACAGCAACAGCAGCAGCAGCAGCAGCAGCAAACACGCAAGCAACAAAACCCAACAACAACAACAACAAGAACAAACCAACAACAACAAAATAACAACGCGCAACAACAAAGAACAACAAAACAACAAAACAAACCAAAACGAATCGAAACGCAACAAAACAAAACAAAAACACACAAAACACAAAACACAATTCACAAAACACAATTCACAAAACACAACGCGCAAAACACAAAACACAAAACCAACACCAATCCAAAAACAGTAACAATAGCAAAAACAACAACAAAAACACACACAAACAGAAACACAAACACAAACACAAACACAAAAGCAAAAACAAACACAAAAACAAGAACAAAAACAAGAACAAGAACAAGAAGAACAACAAGAAGAACAACAAGAAGAAGAACAAGAAGAAGAACAAGAAGAAGAACAAGAACACGAACAAGAACAAGAACAAGAACAAGAACAAGAACAAGAAGAACAAGAACAAGAACACGAACAAGAACAAGAAGAAGAAGAACAAGAAGAACAACAAGAAGAACAACAAGAAGAAGAACAAGAAGAAGAGCAAGAAGAATAACAAGAAGAACAACAAGAAGAAGAACAAGAAGAAGAACAAGCAGAAGAACAAGAAGAAGAACAAGAAGAACAACAAGAAGAAGAAAAAGAAGAACAACAAGAAGAACAAGAAGAACAAGAAGAACAACAAGAAGAAGAACAAGAAGTACAAGAAGGACAAGAAGAACAAGAAGAACAAGGAGAACAAGAAGAACAAGGAGAACAAGAAGAACAAGAAGAACAAGAAGAACAAGAAGAACAAGAAGAACGGGAAGAACAAGAAGAACAAGAAGAACGAGAACAAGACGAGAACGAGAACGAGAACGAGAACGAGAACGAGAACAACAACAAGAACAACAACAAGAACAACAAGAACAAGAACAAGAACAACAACAACAACACGAACAACCAAAACAAAAAGCCAGACAACAACAAAAAACCAAAAGAATCAAAATGAAAACCAAAAACAAAGCCAATACCAAAACCAAAGCCAAAACCAGAACCAAAACCAGAATCAAAACTACCAAAACCAAAGCCAAAACCAGAACCAAAACCAGAATCAAAACCAAAACCAAAACTAAAAACAAAGACAACACACACAAAAAACAACAAACATCAACAAAAACAGCAAAACAACAAAAACAGCAAAAACCGCAAAAACGACAAACAACAACAAACAACAACAAACAACAACAAACAACAACAAACAACAACAAACAACAACAAACAACAACAAACAAAGACAACAACAACAACAACAACAACAACAACAACAACAACAACAACAACAGCAACAACAACAACAACAACAACAACAACAACAACAACAACCACAACCACAACCACAACCACAACCACAACCACAACCACAACCACAACCACAACCACAACAACAACAACAACAAGAAGAACAGCAGCAGCAGCAACAACAACAACACCAACAACAACAACATCAACAACACCAACAACACCAACAACACCAACAACACCAACAACAACAACAACAACAACAACAAACACAACCACAACCACAACCACAACCACAACCACAACCACAACCACAACAACCACAACCACAACCACAACAACCACAACCACAACCACAACAACCACAACCACAACCACAACCACAACCACCACCACCACCACCACGACCACGACCACGACCACGACCACGACCACGACCACGACAACGACAACGGCAACGGCAACGACAACGACAACGACAACGACAACGACAACGACAACGACAACGACAACGACAACGACAACAACAACAACAGCAACAACAGCAACAGCAGCAACAGCAACAACAGCGCCCATCATGCGACGATGCATGCGCGGGGCGATTTTCGATAGTAAATAGCAGTGTTTTCTGTGCATTCGCTGCGCGACACATGTGTTTTCACAAACCTTGTTTTCCGAAATTACAGGTTTCCCGCACACCCTGTCAGCAAAACACACGGAAGGGTTGTTGTGTTTCCATGCGTTATTTTGTGCTACTGCATTCACAGAGTGTTTTGCACATTTACTTGGCCACCTATGCAGCATGAGCTCTTGCGCCTGCAATGTTTGAAGACCGTTATTTTGGGCGTCATGTTTGTTCTCATGCGATTACTACAGAAAGGTCCCAGGGCCTTGCAGGCATGCAGTGCTGAGCGGGTGCGCTTGAGCAGGTGTGCTTATTCGGTGGCAGGCGTGGACACACTGCTGAGCGGGTGCACTTGCGCGGGTGTGCTTATTTGGTGGCAGGCGTGGATACACTGCTGACCGGCGCGCTTGAGCGGGTGTGCTTACCATTTGGCAGGCGTGTGTGCAGTGCTGAGCTTGAGCACACCCGCTTAGCATGTGGCAGGCGTGTGTGCCGTGCTGAGCGGGTGCGCCTGAGCGGGTGTGCTTAGCGTTTGGCAGGCGTGTGGGCAGTGTTGCAACTACACACTTGAGCGGGTGTGCTTACCGTGTGCCAGCCTGTGTGCCGTGATGCGACTACGCGCTTGAGCGCAGGGAAAAAGCTGAGTTATGGCACGCGTGGGCGACGCCAGGACAAGGCTGCCGCGACCGCAGTGCCTTCTGCGTCCGACGCTAGAAAACGCTAGTTACAGTACTTTCAGACTGTCAGAAGCGCGGCGTTATCTCCCTGCGGAGGGAACAACAACAGCACCAGCGCCACCAACAACACCAACACCAACACCAACACCAACACCAACAACAACCGCAACAACCCGCCGCAACAACCACAACAACCCACCACAACAACAACATCAACACCAACATCAACAACAACGACGACAACAACAACAACAACAACGACAACAAGAAAACAGGAACAACAACGACAAGAACAAACAACAGCAACCAACAACATCCAACAACCAAGAACAACTAACAACCAACAACAGCGAACAACAGCAACAACAACAACAGACGCAGCAGCAGCAACAACAGCAACAGCAACAACAACCGCAACCGCAACAGCAACAGAAACAACAACTGCAACAACAACAGCAAAAGTACCACCAGCGACGACGACGATGACTCCAACAACAAAAGCAACGGCGGCGGCAGCAGCAGCAGCACCGGCAGCAGCAGGAGCAGGAGCAACCGCAGCAGTAATCGCAACGACCGCGACAGCAGCTGTAGCCGCAACAGCAACAACGCCGCTGCCAATGATGAGAACTGCAACAGCAGCTGCGCAAGTAACAGCAGGAACAAGACAGGAGCAACAACAAGAACAGCCAGACCAATTACTCCTCGAAGCAGGGTGGACAAACCTAATTTGCTTCCTTGCAGCTTGATCAGATGGGGCAACATTGACTTCCGACCCCCTAAGAAGCGGTGATTATGCCGAGGCTTGATGCCAGGGAACATGGCTTGGACTGCCAGTGCTGTGGCCCTGATTGTGTCGGTTTGCTACAGCTGCAGTGCTAGTCTGCAGATCAACCGCAAAGATGGTTCTGAGCTCGACCAGGAGTTCGAGTCCTTTCAGCGCAATGCCCTAAAAGATCTTCGCAGGTTTTTGCATGGCCAAGGTTTGCCATGCGAGGTCCAAGCCATGCTGCTGACAGCAGCTTGTGTCAGCATGCTTTTACTCCTGGCTGGAGCTGCCTGCGTGAATACAGGCGGTGTTCCGCTCCTAGCTAGTTCATTGTGCATGCTGTGCACAATGGCGTGTGCCATATTCTGTGCTGTCAGGCAGATTGACTGCGGTTACTTGCTTTTGCTCGCCCACAATATACTTGAAATCCCCATCGTGTGGAGCCTTGATGCCTTGCGTGCAGGCTTCCCAGGGTGAGGCTTTGCCGAATCGATCCTCTCTACAGTTCCAGGTTCCAGGTTGCAGTTCCGATCCTCATTTCCTGAAACGTGCATAGAGGCTGCTTCGCAACGAGGCGGTCGCCAGGTTGGGGATTGGCAGACAGCCCTTCAGCAACGCAGAGACGAAAATCCGAGGCGTTTTGCGTGTCAATGGGGGATAGGGTGGAGGATCTTGATGGGATGAATCTATTGAGTGAAGAAGCAGCTGGCCGGTTCCTTTTGCTCGAGACTGGGATGGGGCCCTGGGGAATTCTTGCAAGCTTGTGCGTTGCCGTAGCAAGCCTTGCAATGTATCAGTACGGCTCTTTCAATGGGCCATGCTGCACATCGCGTGCTCACCCGCCTTTGTACCCTCCCGAGTATGAAGATAAGGGCCGGGAGATCGAACTCAATGGCATCCCCGTCTATGAGGTTGCAGGGCGAGCTGGGAGCCAATCTGCTGTCCTTGTCCTCTCGGATGTGTTTGGTTGGCGAAGTGGGCGGACGCGGCAACTATGCGATCAGCTGAGTGCAGAGACTGGTCATCAGGTGCTGCTGCCAAACCTTTTTTATCAAGATGGTTCGGACCACACCCGGCCACTGGGTGGTTGGGGCAAGGGCTGGTGGATCGCCAAGCGCATCCTTTATTATGACTTCAGTCCGAGGGCTGACGGTGCCACCTTTTGGCCAACACTTCTTTACCCCATCTTCTGGGCAAAGACCACTTACGTGAAGAGTCTGGTTGAGGACTTGCTGTCACAGGTGGGAGGAAAGAAAGTTGGAGTCTTGGGCTTCTGCTTTGGAGGCTGGATCGCGCTGCACCTCGCGGCAGAGGAAGCACGGAATGTGCAAGGCATTGTGGTCATGCACCCCAGCATGAACATGGAACAGTTCAAAGGTGGTGACCCATTTGCCGTGTACCAGGCCATCAGGCATCCCACCACATGCCTTGCTGCCAGCGATGACTTCACGCCCAGTCAGCTGGCAGCGATGTCAGAGCGATCCTCCGTGGAGGTGTACCAGTCTATGCGGCATGGCTTCGTGCCAAGAGGCGACATCAAGGATGCCGGCATCAAAGAGGCGGTCAGCGCGGCCATGGAGAAGGCAGTGAACTTCTTTAAGGATCTGCTGTAGACCGGTTGCCTTGAGAACTCGAACTGGTATCCCAGTTGTCAGACCATCAGAGGGCACTGTGCTGCCAAACTGTGTTTAATTGGGCAGTGGCCCTCCAATCAGTACAGGCTTTGGGTGCAGTCTGCCGTCCATGTCATCTTCCTGATCACAGGTGGGCATGAACGGTGGATATTCGACATGTGGCAAGTTGCCCCAAAAGAGGGCAGATGGATCGCCTACTTGACGCGTGTGACTCGACACGATGAGTGGCTATTGGCACTCCACATTTTGCCACAATATCTTGGACGGCTCACCCAGCTGACCTCTGCTGCTTCGAGCTACATGCAGTTGGGCTCCCTTTCGGATTCAAGCCATGACAAGAAATGGCAGTTGCATAAGTACTTGGACCCGCTCACAGGCAATAGCATGACCATATGTTCACATTTGTTCTTGCGCTGCAAGGCGAGAGCAGCGGCAACGCGTTGCAAAGTGCAAGGATCTTCAGTAGCCTGCTTGCCCATGGAAGCCAGTTCCATGCATCCCAACTGGCAGGCTGGGACATGCCTTGTCAGCCCAACAAGAAAAGCAGGGGACTTTTTTTCCTCGCCTTCGGTCACGCCAGGCCTGGGCGGGGCAAGGGCCCACGCCGGAGGAGGTGTCCACCTCTTGCCTGGGGCCGAGCCAGGGGATGGCGCAATGCAGGATGGAACATCAGAATTTGCGCCTTGTGTGGGGCTGGCGCCAAAGTTCGGTGAGCTTTGTTGTTTGACTTGCTCGGGTGTGTAAAAGGAGTTCAAGGAATTCGGCGAGTGCGGCTGGAGTGTCCCGCTACGTGAGTCAGGGTGCGTGAATTGGAATCATAGCCACCCTGCTCCCGAAACTGGGGACATTTCCGTGCTACATGAGTTTGCTTGTTTTTTTTGGCGGGCCCGCACCTGTCGCACAATCGAGGTGACGACAATGACGTGAGCCAGGCTGGAATTTGCGCTGGGTAGACAGCAGCTGGACAGGTAAAGGCTGCCAGAGGCACACCTACTCCTGCCTTGAGCTTGTTGCAGCTTGATCTTGCGTTTCGCCGCAGAAGTCCTTGCAGTGGTTGTCTCATTGGCATCGTTTAAACAAACATACCGTTCTCAGTGGCTGTCAACTTGCATCAGTTTGTTTTCTTCCCCCCATATGTGAAGCTTTCCTGTGCAAAGCGGACTCCTGATTCCATCACAATATACATACTGTTATCCCAATGCCTATCATTCATATCAGGAAGAGACTGCAACGAATCGACGCCAGTCCTGATTCCGTCATGTGGTTTGCCTCGAAGTTTGCAGATCGGGCTTTGTTGCCATCCAGGCGTCGGTGACGCCGGGATCCCATTGCTCCAGGCGATGTGAGCTGGCTTTCGGACTTTTTTTGAGCCCATTCCAGAGTGTGAGAAGAGCCATCCATCTGCCGTTTTTTTTTGAGGCTCCAGCGCGTGTAGAAGGTTCTTTTTCTTTTTCTTTCCCCGGCGAAGAGCTTTTTCTTCGGTTCTCCTCCGCAAAGATGACGGAGACGCTGAAGATCAGCGACGGCAGCACCATGGAGATCGCCCGGCTGCCGGACGTGGACGACGCCACCTGGGCGGAGCTCAAGGCCTACGTGGAGGGCAACCCGGAGACGGCGAAGACGCTGCAGAACTTCGCCAAGAACCCGGAGGCCATGCGGGGCTGGCTGCAGACCCAGGCCATCGCCGAGCACTACAACACCAAGTTGTCCAATGGAGACACGCCGGTGCAGGACAAGGTGAGAGATGAGAGTGTCATGTTAGGATGTAGATTTGGGAAGTGCCTGGATTAGGCTTGTTTTAGTAGTCTTGGCATGATTTCGAAGGTGGAATCTGCCATTGAGCGACGTGTCTGGGACTGTCACTTGGCTCAGGTGAAATCCTTGGAGTCGGACCCTGAGCTGCATCACGTCTTCGAGGACATCAAGAAAAACGGCATGGAGGCAGCCATGAAGTACTACCAGGACCACTAGTTCTTTACATGTCTCAAAAAATCGTACGAAGGGCTGGAGTGCAGCTCAACCCCCCCCCTTTTTTTTTGCTCAGAAAGTCGCATTGGTTCAGGATGCTTGGGGCTTCGTGCCTGTCTTTTTTGCAGAGAGGCAGGGAATCGGCCCATAGAAGCCGATGGGCTGCTTCTTGCGTGCTTCTCCCCATGGCGAAAAAGAATCCGAGGACGAGGAGCTGATGCTGAAGATCTCGCAGAAGATGGGGGGCCTGCCGTCCGAGCTGTCCCCGGTGCTGCAGAAGATCGACGACACCGCCATGACGCTGCACGAGGCGGCCAAGCGGGGGGACCTCGCGGCCGTGAAGGCCTTCCTTGACCGAAAGAAGCCGCTGGACGCTCAGGCGGACAACACACGGTGGTGAAACATAGGGATTTCCCCCAAATGGCTTGCCCTGGTACGTGGAAACATGGACCAAAACCTGCGGTTTTCTGGTGGTGCAAAATTTGACCCACACCCACCTGGCAGTCTAGGGATAGGGAGAGTCGCAAACCATGGATAGGCGGAAAGCTGCCAACTTGAGAAATTATTCTTCAGTTCAAGAGGTTTTGAGTCTGACTCCTTGTTCTTGTTTTTTGAGGGAAACCGAAGGGAGGTTGCTGAACAAGGGGTCTTTTCATATATACTTGGTGGCTCCCAGCCATCCCCTTAGCGTTTTAGCCTTTTAGTGTTTAGAGGAAGTTTCCATTTAACCTATTAAAGTCAAACTTCTAGCGGGGGATCTGAGGACAGCCCAGTATACACATAGGTAGATACACATTTGTTTATGTATGTATATATATATATATATTTATGTTCGACGCGCAGGACTTCAAGGGCATCACGCCTTTGGGCTACGCCATCGGCGCCAACCGCATCGCCGTGGTGAAGCTGCTGCTGGACAACCGGGCCAACCCTTACGCGGTGGACAGCTCCGGCAACAGCGGCTTGCACTACGCGGCCGGCTACGGCCGGAAGGAGCTCTTGGAGTACCTGCTGAAGGCGAGCCACAACAAAAAAAGACCCTTCAGGAAGTGAAGGTTAGTAAGGGTCAATCCCCTTCACCCCAAAAAGAAGGTACATTGGCCCAGGTTTTTCGGTCTTTGGTTCCGTTTGCCAAGGTACATTCGCATATGAGTCACAAACCAATCGAGTACCTCAAGGTGAGACACGATCAAAACCAAGAGCTCCTGGTGATGGGTGAAAGAGATCCCATAAACCCACCCATCCATCATTATCTCCTTTCCATTACTAATCCTTTCCACATCTTTTCATTTCTTTTACAAATCTATTTATTAATCTTAGGAATGGAAATGATTAGGAAATAATGTAATACAAGAAGCATTCCATGAAAGAAGAAACCAAATAAGAATACTTTACCCTCTTGGACCTTGGACAATCAAAACCTGAGCCACGTGCTCAAAACCCGGGGATTGATGAAGGTTAGGGACGATCCCAACCATAAATAGCTGCGGATATCCGCCTTCTTAATCCTGTACGTGGTTCTGGGTAGACCATTTTAGTACCAGGTTTTGATTGCGACTCACCTGGGTAATTGGAGGGAAAGGGACAATCCCCTTAACCCGGCCGCCTTCCGACTTCCGCCCTCAATTCCGACTCAGGTGGGGGCCAATGTGAATCAGCCCAACGCCCAGGGCATGACACCTCTGGCTGCGGCCACGCAGAACCAGCAGGAAGCGACCGTCCAGGTTTTGAGAGCTCATGGAGCTCAATAGACTTCTTGGGAGTTGTGTGGAGCTTCTTTTTTTATAGCGACGCCGTCTGGGCGGAACTGTCCGGACTTGTGTCAAGCAGAAATGCTTTGTTAATCCCCACCGCCTGCAACCTGCGGGCGTCATCGGCCACTCAACCGATGTGCGATAAATGGAGAGCGAAGCTGCTAGTTCTCATGGAGCTTTTGCTTGCCATTCCAGAGGGGTGCCTTTGCGAGTTCAACCAGAATGTGACATCGCAGATGGGCATATTCTTGTTTCCGTCAGTTTGTGGGGTTTGCGCGCTCCTTCATTGGCCTGCCAATGCCTATTGTCAATATCGACCTGCGTGGTTGCCATCTTCCAACAAAAACGGGCGTGATCTTTCACTTTGAGAGTGGAATGTACTGCAACGTCCTCCTTCAGTGACGGCATTCTTGATGGATTCCAGCTTGGCTCCATGTTCACTCTTGTCGGGAGCTGTGCAGATTTGATCGGCTGCTTTGGTTCTGGTCAACATTTGGTAGCTGCCAAGCTGCGAGCGCAGCTCCGCGTTCGAACAAGCTGCCGGTTGGCTTGTTTGAAGGGCATGCGCTGGCTGAGAAACTGTTTGCTCAGGTTGAGGCCCAATGAGGAGAAGTAGGTTGTTTTTTTGTCCCTTCTCCTGCATTTTTTGAGGCTCGTTCCTGATTTCTGCTCCCGCCCTAATTTGGGGATCGTGGCAGGAAGGGATGAAGAAGGCATGGGGCTCCATCTAGTTCTGGTTTCCTCGCGGCTGACATGTGGCCAAGTCTGAGCCGTGCAACTGAATCGGAGATCAGCAAATCAGCAAGCAGAGATGTGTGTGCTTTGGCGCCTTGAGCAATGCTTGCTTTTCCCAGGTACAAGTTTGAAGAAGGGCTCCTGTGTCGTGTCTGTGTAATTATTCCGGTTGCAGGCCCGACACCGCACACCACAGCCCCCCGGCTCAAGGAGACTGGCGGGGCAGAGCGTTTTCTTTGGTTTGCCAAGTCCATGCGGGACCCAGGCACTAAGCCATGCTTCACGCCTGACGTTTGGAACTGCGCCGACACGAGCGTCGAGCACCCCGAGGCAAGGGTTTGAGAGCGAGCGTTTCATGTGGAGCTTCGGAGCTCACCCGACCTTTGCTTCGTGTTCGCCCGAAGAAAAAAACAAAACACAAAGGGCGCCTCGAAGTCTCTGGCGGTCGGTGATGTGTTGGGAGCGAGGTGGGGCAGCTCTACCTGTCTCTGGGGCTTTCGCTGCTCTGTTGCGTCCTCTGTGGCCTGGGTGCCTTCCTGCTGGCGCAGCTCCGGCGCGAAGCGCCGGAGCCAGAGGCTGGAGGGGCGCTGGAGGGGCGCTCGAGCGCGAAGTGTTGCAAGGCCTAGGTAGGTGGCAAAGAAATCCACTTTGGGCTACCACACGCCTGGAAGTTCCAAGTTTTAAAGCAGGCCAACATTGGGTGGGCTCGCACCTCGAGTTTGGACAACGCCCTGGGACCCTCATCTTGACCGGACAGGCTTTGGATGAGGAGGGCCAGCTGGCGCCCAGCCAAGGCCCCGACTTGCCCTTCCCCAAGGCTGGGCTGCTCAATGCTTTTGCGGCATTTGGGGGTGAGGTCCTTCACATTTTCTCACTAGCACTCCTGCACTGCCAGGTGGCCGTTCCAAAGCAGATCTTAGACTGGGCCGCTGCAGAGCCTGACCGGGTTTGTTTGGTCGCAGAGGGGAAGGCCTGGGCCATCGCACGCCGACCGGTTGCAGGCAAGAACCACTCGAAGCCAGACTTGAGATCCATTTTTCGGCGTTAGACTGTACTCTTTGTTACGCAGGATTTTGGCATTCACAATACAATGTCCTCCCGCTTTTTTTTTTTTTTCTCCGTGCACTGCCATGCATGGTGGCATGGTGTCTTTGACTTTCCCAACTCAATGTCGCCGTTTTCCAAAACTTTTCGCGCGCGGCAGGAGCTCACCTACCACGACCTGCTGCTCCTTTCCCGGCGCTGCGCTGCCAAGCTCCTGCAGCTTTTTGCCGAGTCCGGCGAGCACGGCGGCCGCGACGCGCTCGCCGCGCGGCTGGTGGCGCTGTACCTGCAGCCGGGGCCGGCGCTGGTGGCGGCGGTGCTGGGCACGTGGCTGGCGAAGAGCGCCTGGACGCCCCTGGACCGCAAGAGCCCAGCGCTGCGGATCCGGGAGCTCGTGAAGCAGGCGACGGCTTCGTTCGGAGTGGGTCGGATTGGAGGAAAGCGGAATTGGGGGATGGCTTTGAGGAGATTGCATAAAACTTGGGACAGCTGGAATCTGCTTCCACTTGCATCCAGGGCTTCTTGGTTGAAATTCCTTCGTGAGAGAGCAAGCGACAGGCCGCATGTTGAGAATGCCGCACGTTTGTTTTTCCGAGCGGAATGGCCAGCCTCGTGCCCCGATAGCGACCCGATTCGGTGCCAGGTGAATCCCCAGGCAGTGATCTGCGACGATCAGTCCCCCTTTGAGCAGCTGGAGGCATGGGCCGGATGCAGGTGACAATGTAAGAGGTGCCCTTGACAGGCACCGTGCCAAGCGGGCGGATATTGTTTTTTTCTCCTCGTTTTTTTTCTCCTCTTTTTTTACTCCTTTTCCGGCGTTTGCCGTTAGGGTGAAAGTACGTGGGCAAACATCTCATGAAAAGACAAAAACATGGGACCATGAGACTAGGGCTCATGGGACCAGTCCGGGCGTGTTGGTTCACAGGTGCCCGTGGTGCATATGAACAAGGCGGACAAGGCGACCCCCGCTGAGATCGGCTGGGAGGGGTCCCTGGACAGCCTGGCGCAGGTGATTTATACCTCGGGCTCCACCGGCACTCCGAAAGGCCGAGGGGGTGGGGTGGATGGGGTGGGGTGGGCTGGGGGGGAGGTTGGCTCGGGCAGCAGAAGCTAAAGGCCCATTTGGGTCATGGCCAGATGTTTTTTTGAGCTGACAAGGAGTGGCGAAGTGAGAGAAAGCTATTTAACACTGCGAATAAGGACAAGGCTGCGCCTTTCGGGGCTTGCTTAATCTGAGGTGTGATCTTCAGCCACGGGCGCTTGGCCCACTCCACCCACTTCTTTGCAGAGCAGTGCGGGGTCGGCCTGGCCACCCGAGTTTTGCAGAAGACGCCCAACATTTGGTCCGTGTTCCGGCATGAGGTGTACCCCGCCCTTTGTCGGGGTGGTGTTGTGGTGCACCCAGACCCCTTGAGGCCGGGTATGGTTCGGACGGCGTGAGAGATAATTGTCTCTGCCCAGTTCAGCAATCTGCAAGAGGTTATTCAGTTTCGGTGAGCCAAGGTAAGGTTGACCTCATATCAACCCCAGTTTACAACTATGGGAGTGGTTTGGGCCCCTCCGAAAGTGGTCCGATTCCCACATTTCACCCTGGCCACCCCCAAAATTGAAAAAAAACTGGCGGGTTGGTGAAAGTCTACGGGCCCAACAAATTCACCAACCCCCTGGTCTTTCGGCCGGGTCACCACACAAAAGGGGTCAACCCCCATTGCTAAGGGTCTGATGTCCCCACTGAAGAAAAGAATCTCACCAGGCCATTGCAGAAGCTCCCAGGGGCTCGGGGCCTGCGCTCGCAGGACCGCGGACCCGGTGCACCTGGGGAAGGTCATCGGCCAGAACCAGGTGGCTCTGGTTGTGAAAGCCGTTTTGGGATCCCATTTGGGTCGGCAGGTGAATTCACCTGCCGTGGTAGAACCCATTTTCCGTGGTTGGGTTGGGTCCTAAAACTAATGGGATCCCATTTTGGTTGATTCACAACCCATTTGAGTTTTTCTCCTTCTCCGTGGCTGGATTGGGATTCCAGCGTTTTGCATCCCATTTTGGTTGGTAGGTGAATTCACCACCCAGTTTAGAACCCATTTTCGTGGTTGGATTGGGATGTTCCCTGGGGTTCCTTGGTTTTGAATTCACCCATGCTAGAACCCATTGATCCATGGTTGGGTTGGGTCAACCCACTTTCGTGGTTGGATTGGGATGTTCCCCGGGGTTCCTTGGTTTTGAATTCGCCCATGTTAGAACCCATTTTTCCATGGTTGGGTTGGGTCCTAAAACCAATGAAATCCAATTTTGGTTGGTAGGTGAATCAGTTCACCACCCATTTGAGTCGGGGATTTTTCCGTGGCTGGATTGGGATTCCAGCGTTTTGCATCCCATTTTGGTTGGTAGGTGAATTCACCACCCAGTTTAGAACCCATTTTCGTGGTTGGATTGGGATGTTCCCTGGGGTTCCTTGGTTTTGAATTCACCCATGTTAGAACCTGTCTTTTCCGTGGACCCAACCCATTTTCGTGGTTGGATTGGGATGTTCCCTGGGGTTCCTTGGTTTTGAATTCACCCATGTTAGAACCTGTTTTTCTGTGGTTGGGTTGGGTCAACCCATTTTCGTGGTTGGATTGGGATGTTCCCCGAGGTTCCTTGGTTTTGAATTCACCCATGTTAGAACCCATTTTTCCGTGGTTGGGTTGGGTCAACCCATTTTCGCGGTTGGATTGGGATGTTCCCTGGGGTTCCTTGGTTTTGAATTCACCCATGTTAGAACCCATTTTCCCGTTGTTGGGTTGGGTCCTAAAACCAATGAAATCCCATTTTGGTTGGTAGGTGAATCAGTTCACCACCCATTTGAGTCGGGGATTTTTCCGTGGCTGGATTGGGATTTTACCGTTTTGGATCCCATTTTGGTTGGTAGGTGAACTCACCACCCAGCTTAGAACGTGGTTGGATTGGGATGTTCCCCGGTTCCTTGGCTTTGAATTCACCCATGCTAGAACCTGTTTTTCCGTTGTTGGGGTCAGGGATTTTCCCGTGGCGTCCCTTTCACTGGGGCTTCGGGCTACGGGCTGTGGTGGCCACGCTTGTGCTGACCGCCAGGTCTCGCTGCTGGTGGCCACGCCCGCGGTGCTGGACCTGGTGCTCGACGCCAACGAGCTGATGCCCACCCTGAGGCGACGGGTGAGATGTGGCGGGTGACGGGAGAGGCTCCTCGGGGAGTCCTGGCCTTTGAAGAGGCATGGCTCCAATTTGTGCGGAGCCTCCGAGAAAAAACAGCAACTGGCAGCTGCTTGTTATGTTTCGGGGGAACCATACTGTGGATGGTTGCGAAATCCATTTCGCACCACCGTTCAGACACCCTGGTTTCGGATTTCATTCCCTTGTAAATACCAACAAACAGAGGTTTTCCATGGTTTCAAAGTGTCCAGCCACAGTAGGGCAACCCCCAAAATGGTTTGCCCTGGCAAATGGAAACATGGACTTACCAGTAGAGCCGGCGAAGCCGGTGGGCGGAAGTTTCAAAAATATGTAAAAACAACTATAGTTCTCTTTCTCTTTCTTTTCTTGATTATTGTTCTCTTCTTCTCCTTTTTCATTGTTTCTTTTCTTCTCCATTCTTTCTTCTGTCTTTCTTTCCTTCCTTCCCCACTCCTTTCTTTCTTTCCTTGTTGTTACGCCGTTCTTTCTTTTGTCTCTTCTCTAACTATCTATCTATTTGTCTATCCACCTATCTATTTGTCTCCCTCTCCCTATCTATCTGTCTTTTTCTTTTCATCTATATATCTATCTATTAATATCTTTATCTATATCTATGTTTATTTATCTATCTGTGTATCTATCTATCGATCTATCTATCTCTCTATCTTTCTTTTATTTTTTTTATTCTAGCTATCTCTCTCTCTCTCTCTCGTTCTCTTCTCATCCATTTTTGTATCTATTTACTTATCTATCTATCTATCGATCTATCGATCTATCTATCTATCTATCTATCTATCTAGCTATCTATCTATCTATCTATCTATCTATCTAATCTATCTATCTATCTATCTATTTATCTATCTATCTATCTATCTATCTATCTATCTATCTATCTATCTATCTATCTAATCTATCTATCTGTCTATCTAGTCTCTCTATCTATCTATCTATCTATCTATCTATCTATCTATCTATCTATCTATCTATCTATCTCTTTATCTATCTCTTTATCTATCTATCTATCTATCTATCTACCTACCTATCTATCTATCTATCTATCTATCTATCTATCTATCCCTATATGTATCTATATATTCATCCATCTATCTATCTATCTATCTGTCTATCTATCTATCCATCTATCCATCTATCTATCTACCTATCTCTCTATTTATCTCCTAACCTTGCAAAAGTGCTGCCCCTGCCACGAAGTCTGTACTTGACCTTGCGAAAGTGCTGCCCCTGCCACGAAATCTGTACTTGACCTTGCGAAAGTGCTGCCCCTGTCACGAAATCTGTACTCGACCTTGCGAAAGTGCTGCCCCTGCCACGAAATCTGTGACCTTGCGAAAGTGCGGCGCCTGCCACGAAATCTATACATCACCTTGCAAAAGTGCTGCGCCTACCACGCAATTGAAACGTCGAGAGAACTTGACCTTGCAAAAGTGCTGCGCCTGTCACGAAATCTGTACTCGACCTTGCGAAAGTGCTGCCCCTGCCACGAAATCTGTGATCTTGCGAAACCTTCGTGTTGCCGTGCCAATGGGCCCGCGCTCCGAGAGTGGTCCGATGGTCCGAGACTGGTCCGACCAGGCGCCGCAAACAGGCTAGCTTTCAGCTCTCCGGAGACGCCAATTCCCGCACAGGGCCATGCTTTTTGCACATTTCTATTCTCCCACCACACGCGCACGCATATTTTCTCGCGGGCTTATTTCCTTCTCTTGTCATCTGTCTCAGAGAGCTAGCTTTCAATTAGTTGCCGTAACACGGAAGTTCCTTCTAAGCTTCCTTTGATAAAAGATGCGGTCCGATGTTTTTGTGGACCCCGGGTGAAACAGCGAGAAAGCTGCTTATGAATCAACCAACCAGCTGATTTTTTTCCGGGTGTCCATCTGGGTTTAGGGACCCCCTTCCACCAATTGGTTTGGACCATTCTCCTTTAAAGGGAACCTATGTCAGGCTCCATGTTAAATGATGGGAGGGTAACCCCAACCAGAAATGGGTGCGGATAAATTATTATTTTTGCATTCTGGGAGCAGAATACGTCCATTTTAAGACCGATCGGTTTTCCGATTGGGTGGGAAAGGGGAGGCTGGGGGGGAGATTTTGGGGGGCTGGGGCTTTCCACTGCATGAGTGACAGTGGCTGGACAAATTCCTGCACCACTTTGAAACCATGGTTGAAGCCTTTGCTTGTTGGCACAATTACACGGGAGTCGAATCAGAAACCCCAGAGGATTTCTGAGCTCTGAGCGGTGGTGCCTGAGATAAGCTTCGCAACCATCCAGAGGGCTTTGGCAGGTACATCGTTTGCATGGGCGAGCCCCTCTCTTGGTCCATGGCCGAGAAGGTCTACCGCTCGCTGCTCGGCGTGAGAACCCTGCCAAAGATTCCGCTGCAGGTTGGTGGGATGTGGCTTTGGGTCAAAATCAAACAGTTGGGGTTACGCAGGTTTTAGTCATTTTTTCCATTTGCCAAGGTGCCATTGTTGGGGAACATGGTTTTGAGCCACAGCCATGTCTTGTGGGTTTCTTTAACGGCTCAGTGGGAAAGGAGCATGAGGGCCTGGATTCTGGATGGTATCGCATTTCTCCTTCGTAGCTTGCATGCCAGTGCGGATGCTAGGCTTCCTTTCGTCAACCTGATGAACTTCTATGGCTCCACAGAGACGGCGACTTGGCGCCTTCTCAGATCCATCCGGCACCAAGGGGTCAACAGCTGCACTCATGCCTCTTTTCTCTGTAAGCTTATCTTTTTGAGGACATGCTGCGCACCCCCATCCCATCCATGAGCCAGGTTTTCTTTGCTTCAGCTGAAGCTAGTATATGAAAGCTAGTCAGACTTGCGGGGTTGATAAACGCAACTGATTGAGAGCGAGTTGAAACAGGACAACAAGTACAGCACTGGAGAGCCAATTGTACCAACCTTTAGAAGAACACCTTCACAATTTTCTACATCAGAGGGTTTACAACAAAAGGGGGCAGGGACTTCTCTTCGTTGTTTCTTTTCTTGGAAAAAGCCAAAAGAGGACCGAACCCGCCTACCTGGAGGGGTCCGACTCTCATTTTGACAGAACCGAGATCCTCAATGAGGGTGGGGCCCCATTATTTTTGATCACTCGGTTTGGCTTCGGAAAAAAACAAATCAAAAGCAGCCCGCCTGCCAGAGATCCCGAGGAGAACACCACCTTCACCGTGCCCAAGATCGGCGGCGAGGAGTGGCAGCGCTGCAAAGGCCGGGCGGTGCCCGCCGGAAGGCCACAGCCCCATGTGCACGTGCAACGTGGCCATCGACGTCGGACGTCGCTGGCTTTTTGGTCTGGTCGGCAAAGAAGGGGCCCAGGAAGGGGAAAGCTGCCGCATTTTTCGGGGCATTTTCCTTTTTCGTACGTCAAGAGTCAGCCACAAAAACCACTTTGGGCTTTTGGCTTTGTGTAGATGGCTGGCTACGAGTTTGATTGGCGAAGAGGAACAGTCTCAACAAATGGTCAGTGGATACCCCCCCCAAAAAAAATATAATGATACTGATAGTGATGGTAATAACAGTGCACAAAAAGAACAAGGAGCAAGAAAACACACACACACAAGAAAGTCTGGGTATCTCTTAAACTACCCCTCCCCCCCAAAAAAAGGACAGAAAAAGAAGACGAAGAAGAAGAAGAAGAAGAAGAAGAAGAAGAAGAAGAAGAAGAAGAAGAAGAAGAAGAAGAAGAAGAAGAAGAAGAAGAAGAAGAAGAAGAAGAAGAAGAAGAAGACCACACATGATGATGATGATGAATAACATAAACTAAACATGGGTGGTTGTGTGTGTGTGTGTGTGTGTGTGTGTGTGTGTGTGTGTGTGTGTGTGTGTGTGTGTGTGTGTGTGTGTGTGTGTGTGTGTGTGTGTGTGTGTGTGTGTGTGTGTGTGTGTGTGTGTGTGTGTGTGTGTGTTTTTTTCTCCGTTTTTTTCTCAACGGGTCAACGGGTTTCTCCTTTGAGGTATCTGCTGGAGCCGGGGTCCCTGGAGCCCAGCAGCCCGGGGGAGATCTGCTTCAGCGGCATCATGGCCGACGGCTACTTCGGCGCCCCCGAGCTCACCGCCAGGTCCGGGGCTCGGGTCACGACTCCGAGCTGGGGATTTTTTTGTTTTCCTTTGTCCCGGAAGAAGAAGATTTGGGGTGACTCAATGACGGAAAATGGATATTTTGGGGCTGGCTCCAAGTTCTCGCAGCAGGGGGTACGCAGGTTTTAGTCATTGGTTTCCGTTTGCCAAGGTGCCATTGTTGGGAACATCTTTGTGAGCCACAGCCATTTCCATGACCCGAAGAAAAGTTTGGGTATGGCTTCTTATTTCGTGGTGCGAAAATGTTTTTGTCCATCCGCAGTATGGATGTGTCTCCGTGTGTGTTGTTATGACACCCATGTCAGGCGGTTATTGGCGGGAAAACCGAGAAAGAGACCCGCTACTTTGGTCCACTGATTTGAGAGTCCCGTCAAGGGTGGATCTGACTGACCGAATCGAACAGATCCCATGGCAATAGACCCCGAGTCAAGCAGACACAACATTGCCCGAGTCGCGCGGCACCAATGCGGATGGTGCGTGTTTTTTCTTTGTTTTTTCTTCTTTTTGTTTTCTTCCTTTTATTGATTGAAGATTATATATATATATATATATGTATATATATATATATACAAATACATACATGCATATGTACACACATACATCGTGTATACATATATATATATATATACATAGATACACACGCACGCTTTTTTGTTTGTGTGGCAGGAGCTTCGTGGAGCACCCCACGCTGGGGCGGCTGTACCGCACCGGGGACTTGGGCCAGTGGAGCCATCAGCAGCTCACAGTCCTGGGTCGCATCGACCGGCAGGCGGGGCCATCGATCGCCGATCGATGGCGCCGGGTCTGGTCGGCGCCGGTCGACCGGTTCGATGGTCGGTTGGTCGGTTGGTTGGTTGGTTGGTTGGTCGGTTGGTTGGTCGGTTGGTCGGTTGGTCGGTTGGTCGGTTGGTTGGTTGGTTGGTTGGTTGAGTTTGTTTGTTGGTTGGTTGGGTGATTTGGTGATTGGCCTGAGTCATCTAATCTTGTGCCCCTTGCAGTGGATAGCGCTGGATGGGAGCTGTTTATGTTGCAGCATGGCTGTTGACCTTTGCACGCCCTTTGAGCCTTTGCTTCGCTCGACACATTTCAGATGTCGACGCCGCCGTCGTTTGCGCGGATCGGCGTTGCACCAAGTCGTCGGCCGCCGGATTTCCAAAACACTGTGTTTTCCTGAAAGACACAGTGTTTAGATGAAAACACTGCAAATTTGCAGGGTTCAGGTTCTGCTGGCACTCAGGGGGTGGCTTCGATCGAGGCGAGAAAGCCATGGTGCGAAGATGTCGTGTCGAGCGCCAGGTGAAGATCCGTGGCGCGCGAGTGGAGCTGCAGGACAAGCGGCGAGCTGTCTGTCAGCTGTCGAGCTGCTTTGAAAAGGGAGTCTTTGTTTGCGAGCATATAATTTATAGCATCAATATGATATATATATATATATATGTTATATGGATTCTGCAAGTCAAAAATTACCAATATACAGTCGTCACCATTTAATTTTCTTAAATAAACATGATCTGAACACAGTCAAGGGTCGCTTCATGAGGCGGTCAGGTCGTGCCAAAGGTTGCATAGACTGTCTCAAGACTTGAACGTCGTTTGCCGCGTCGTAGAGTTGGACACCAAGCCGTTACCACTTTTGCGTGCCGCAAACAGCACGCTTTATCTAGATCGAAAAGCCCTGCAAGTTCCTGCCCAGTTGGAGAGCAGGCTCACGACGTACGGCATCATCTCGCCGTCGGCAGCAGATCGTTGACATAGGTGTCCTTTTTGGTTGTTTCGGTCGAAAAATAGATGGCGGTTCCTGGTCAATCCTGGACGTTTAATCATCTACCAGGGAAATCCATCTATGTCCCCTAAAAGGACACCTACTGTGGATGGACAAAATCCTGCACCACTTTGAAGCCATGCAAAAACCATTCTTTGTTGTATTTACAGGGGGATCATCATTCCAGGGTTTCTTAGGTGGTGCGAAACGGATTTCGTCCATCCACAGTATGATCGTGGATCGCACCGGCCGATTCGACCAACAGCTGGCGAGGAGCTGGAGCTCACCCTGGCACCGCTGGTCTCGGCGATTTGTGCGGTGGCGGCAGAGGGGGAGGAAGGCCACCTGCGCCTCGGCGTTTTTTTTTTGCCCGTGGTGTTGGTTTGGGCAACATAGTAGATGGCGATTCCTGGTTGACCCGGTGGTTCAATCATCTACCAGGGAAGTCCATCTATGTCCCCTGAAAGGACACCTTTGCGGAGGGTGTTTTGTTGGCGGAGGCCCTGAGAGGCAGGACGGTCGCATTTGACCCTACCTCAACGTTGTCGCATTTGACCCTACCTCACGATGAGGTAGGGTCAAATGTGACCGGAGGTAGGGTCGTATGTGACCGGGACCCCTGTTCCGTTGTAACACATGCAACTGAAGAGCCCCTTTTTGACAGTGAGGTAGGGACAAATGTGACCGGTGCGTTTCGCGTGGCCCTGCCGTGGAATTGGAACGCAGCATTCGATGTATCTAACGATCCAGTAGGGACAAAGGTGACCGGAGGTAGGGTCGTATGTGACCGGGGCCCCTGTTCCGTTGTAAAAAACGAGCAACTCAAGGGCCCCCTTTTGAGAGTGAGGTTGGGTCAAATGTGACCGGAGCCTTGTGAAGTGACAACGCAGCAGAAACCCTAAAAGTGATGTGGTAACTACCTAAAGAAGTGACAGCAAACCAAAAAACCCTAAAGTGATGTGGTGACTTTAACTGAAGTGACAACGCAGCAGAAACCCTAAAAGTGATGTGGTAACTACCTGAAGAAGTGACAGCTAAACCCTAAACCCTAGAGTGATGTGGTGACTTTACCTGAAGTGACAGCGCAGCAGAAACCCTAAAAGTGATGTGGTAACTACCTGAAGAAGCGACAGCGCAGCAGAAGCCCTAAAGTGATGTGGTAATTGCCTAAAGGAGTGGCAGCGCACCAGAAACCCTAAAGTGATGTGGTGACTACTTCAAGAAGTGACAGCGCAGCAGCAACCCCAAAGTGATGTGGTGACTACCTAAAGAAGTGACAGCAAACCAGAAAACCCTAAAGTGATGCGGTGACTATAACTGAAGTGACAACACAGCAGAAACCCTAAAAGTGATGTGGTAACTACCTAAAGAAGTGACAGCTAAACCCTAAACCCTAGAGTGATGTGGTGACTATACCTGAAGTGACAGCGCAGCAGAAACCCTAAAAAGTGATGTGGTAACTACCTGAAGAAGCGACAGCGCCGCAGAAACCCTAAAGTGATGTGGTAACTGCCTAAAGGAGTGGCAGCGCGCCAGAAACCCTAAAGTGATGTGGTGAGTACTTCAAGAAGCGACAGCGCAGCAGAAACCCTAAAGTGATGTGGTAACTGCCTAAAGGAGTGGCAGCGCGCCAGAAACCCTAAAGTGATGTGGTGACTACTTCAAGAAGTGACAGCGCAGCAGCAACCCTAAAGTGATGTGGTGACTACCTAAAGAAGTGACAGCAAACCAGAAAACCCTAAAGTGATGTGGTGACTATAACTGAAGTGACAACGCAGCAGACACCCTAAAAGTGATGTGGTAACTACCTGAAGAAAATTGACAGCTAAACCCTAAACCCTAGAGTGATGTGGTGACTATACCTGAAGTGACAGCACAGCAGAAACCCTAAAAGTGATGTGGGAACTACCTGAAGAAGTGACAGCTAAACCCTAAACCCTAGAGTGATGTGGTGACTTTACCTGAAGTGACAGCGCAGCAGAAACCCTAAAAGTGATGTGGTAACTACCTGAAGAAGCGACAGCGCAGCAGAAACCCTAAAGTGATGTGGTAACTGCCTAAAGGGTGGCAGCGCACCAGAAACCCTAAAGTGATGTGGTGACTACCTCAAGAAGTGACAGCAAGCCAGAAAGCCCTAAAGTGATGCGGTGACTAACTAAAGAAGTGACAGCAAACCAGAAAACCCTAAAGTGATGTGATGACTATACCTGAAAGCGATGTAAAAGCCTCAAGGCCTAAAGTGACGCATTTGGCAAGAAACCGTCAGGTAGGGTACGGTCAAATGCGACCGGTGCGTTTCGCGTGGCCCTGCCGTGGAATTGGAGCTTGATGCTGCCATCTCGTTGCCAGCTGGCAATGTTGCTTGAACGCAAAGTAGGGTAGGGTCGCTTGTGGCCGGTGCGTTTCGCGTGGCCCTGCCGTGGAATTGGAACATAGTGTTGCCACTTGGCACTGATTTTAAGCCCAAAGTAGGGTAGGGTCAAATGTGACCGGTGCGTTTCGCGTGGCCATGTCGTGGAATTGGAGCTTGATGCTGCCATTTCTTTGCCAGTTGGCCATGTTGCTTGAGCCCAAAGTAGGGTAGGGTCAAATGTGACCGGTGCGTTTCGCGTGGCCCTGCCGTGGAATTGGAACATAGTACTGCCATTTGGCACTGATTTTTGAGCCCAAAGTAGGGTAGGGTCAAATGTGACCGGCGCGTTTCGCGTGGCCATGTCGTGGAATTGGAGCTTTACGCTGCCATTTTGGCATGGTTTTTGAAGCCAAAGTAGGGTAGGGTCAAATGTGACCGGCGGGTAGGGTCGTATGCGACCGTCCTCCCGCCCTGAGATCCGAAGATCTGCTCCAAGGCACATCGTAGCCTTCGTGGTGACGGAGGATCTGGAGGCTCTGAAGGAGCAGGCCAGAAGCCGCCTCTCTGCGGCGCTGATGCCAACCCTCTTCCAGGCGCTTGCAAGCGATCCATTGAGTTTGAGCTTGAGTGGCCTGGCAAAAAGTGCATGCCCAAACACCGCCAGGAGACTGGCTGGCTTTGTGTTTGTTTGCCGCGTGCGCCATGCTCTTCAGGTTCCCTGGCCGTCGCCGCAACCTCCCCTCCAACCCTCTCAACCTTCCCCCCCCCCCAGCAGGATTGTTTCTGGCATGCGGAAGGCGCGGCGCAGGGTCGCGCTTGGCATCCGGCGGCGTTTCGCGCTTTGCAGGCGCTGCCGAGCTTGCCGCGCTTGGCCAATGGGAAGGTGGATATGCAGGGCTTGCCCCGCGGCAAGCATCGGGGCATCGGCGCATCGGCGCATCGTTTGTTGTCTTCGAGGTTGCATCGTGGGAGCGGATTTGCAGGGCTTTCGAAAAGGTACCCATCGCAGGGATGAACAGCACGCATTGCGTGGATGCAGCCACGAACAAGTTGGAAGGGCTTCGAAGGAACAAGCCTTGCCCATTCCGCCCTCCCGTGTCACCTATGCCACGTGTCAAGGAAAGCGCTGGCCTCTGAAGCGCTAGCGGAGGCACAGCGTGAGGCGGAGCCTCGGCACAAATCGGCCATGCGAGGTGTGTATTTTTTTGTGCAATGCCGAGGACAGCTTCGGCTCGCAAGTTTGAAGGGACAGATGCTGGAAGCAGTTTCTTTTGGCTCCCAACTTGCTGCTGACCATCTCATTGTCCGTAAGTCATCATAGGGCAAGGAGTTTGTTGCAGTTGTTGTTCGCGACACATTCACTGGCGTAATTCAAGCTTACCCAGCCAGTGATCGAGTCATTGTTTCGCTGAGGAGAGCGAGACCACCACAGCGCTGGACTCTCTGGGTATGCTGCAGCACCTCACCAAGTCGCAGCTGGAGGAGGCTGTACGGTGCAGTTTCTCTCAGTCAACGCCAATGCTACCATTTTGGGGTAGGTGAATTCACCACCCATTCTAGTCTATTTTAGTGGGGATTGGGATGTTCACTGGGGGTACGGGGTTTTGACCCATGGCCATATACCTTGGCGCAATCTAGCCTCGATTTCTGCGAGTGCTGAAAGCTTGGAGCCAGGACCGTTGGGTGCAGAACCAGCAAGCCTTTTGGACGCTCATCGTCATGATGGCGCACTTTGCGTTGATACAGGGCTCCTGGGCTCATAACCTATGGCTCCATTTTGGGGTGGAACATCCATTTGCCACCTTTGATGTTCACCAGGGGGAGGCACAGCCATTTCATCGCCATCTGCTGGGAGCGCCATGTCTTGTGCGCATCCGCCGAGGTGCAGGTGAGGCTGGACGAATGACAATAGACATCGAGTCGGCGTTGAGCCACGGCAAGGACGGATGGGAGGCTGAATTCAACACGTAAGAAATGCTTGGGAGCGCTTCTTTGCCCCATGTCCTGATGCTTGGGGTCTCACCATCAAGAGGCTTGCTGCGCAGCCACACCTGTTTCTGGGCTTTTGATCACGCTGCGCGGCTGATGCGTTTGGCTCCACGCCGTGCACGGGAAAACGCCTTTGGGCTATGCATGTAAAGCTTGAGGTTTGATGCCTTCGGAGAAATGTACATGATGACATAATTTCAACTTGTTGAAGACTGACAAATAGTCTAAGGAGTTGCTGATACTCATAGAAGAAGGTCAGCTGCAGTTATCTAAAAGCACACCGGAAGTTTGGATGAAATCATTTTCAGAGCCGAGCACATGCTTGGCAGACTTTCAATTCAGTCTGCTGGCTCGATTGCTCAATTGAGGGTGCGGTGGCTCGCTGACCCTTCTTATTTTTTTGGTTAGCATTTTCGTTTCCGCTGACCCACGTCTTGGAGGGCCATCCTCGCGTCAGACGGGGCTTATCCCCATGATCCTGACCCATGCTCCGGGTTCTTTCTGGATTGTTTCAGGTGTTGAACCATCTCAGAGACAACTTAACCAACCTTTGCCCTTGTTTGGTCAGAATTTGGCGTTTCACATGGCTAAGTCTTCCCATGCCTTCCCCAAAGCTTCAAAAGGTTGTGAACCTCCCCGATGCCTTTAGCTCCCATATCATCCGCACAGTTTGCCCACTGATTTCCAACGTTTGCCCTACGCAACCCCGTTCCTCCACAGTTTTCCTCAGCTTATTGCTCTTTTTCTAGGGCCTTTTGCTTCTGGTGGACATGCTCTTGCTTTTCTCTTGCTTTCTTCTATATCCTTTTTGGTCCGGTCCGCGCGCGCGCGTGTGTGTGTGTGTGTGTGTGTGTGTGTGTGTGGGTGGGTGCGTGCGTGCGTGCGTGCGTGCGTGCGTGCGTGTGTGTGTGTGTGTGTGTGTGTGTGTGTCTTTTTTAATGTGTGTGTGTGTGTGTGTGTGTGTGTGTGTTTTTTCGCCGCAGGACATGTCGGCCTTCGTGTTGCTCTTGGGCTTTGCGGACGCGCGGAACGGGCCGCAGCTGAGCACGCGGGACGGGGCGGCGCTCGTCCTGGCGCTGTCGATGACCTTCGTCTTGCCGTGGATCCTACGACCACCGCCGCTGTGGCAAAATGGCTGTGGTGGTCAAAACCAAAGGTACCATTGTTGGGTAGGTGAATTCAGGACACATTGTAGAACCTATTTTCATATCGAGCTCGACGCAGACGCATATGGCCATGGTTCAAAACCGTTTTGGGATTTTGGGGTAGGTGAATTCACCACCCAGTTTAGAACCTATTTTAGTGGGGATTGGGATGTTGACTGGGGGTACGATTTGGCTTTTGACCCATGGCCAAATTCTCAAACGGCACCCGAACGTCGAACGGTTCCATTTGGGTGTGGCTCAAAATGAAAGACTCGGGGCTACGCAGTTAGTCTTAGGTTCCATTTGCCACGATGCCATTTTGCTTTACATTATTTTGACCCACAGCCTGTGAATTGGGAGGGCAAGGCTGACTAGATTTTCAAGCAAGTTTCTCTCCTTGTTTCTATCCTCTTGGTGCCACTGTTGCGAAATCGAAATCTGATTGGACGCCACGAAAGGAGAAGCATCATGGGAGTGAAGCCAGAACGTTTGGTGATTTACATGGGGAATCGAAGCATTCCCCAGAAGGATTCGTGTGGACCAAATCCACGAACCGCACCACTTTGGAAGCCATGGTTTTGATTCCATTCTTTGTATTTGCGTTGGGGAACATCGAATCTCCGAAACCAGGGTCCAGGGAGGCGTGGTGCGGTTTATGGATTTCGCAACGCACGCTGCGCAAGGAAGCTCTTGAGAGCCTCGGGGTCTTGTTGGCCTCAAGTTCAGCGGGCTTCGTTTCTGCGAGTCGAGTTTTCGGAGCTCGACGTCGTTTTTTTTTTCCTTCCCCCGGAGGGGCCCCACGAGGAATAAACAGATGACTGCCCGGAGAATGGATACTGGTTTGATTCCGGAACAGGCAGATTATGGTGCCTCCGGAGCTAAAGCTTGGCGAGGTGGAGATCGGACCCCTAGATATGGGGGTGGCTCAAAATGAAGGAGCCAGGTTACGCAGTTCTTATTCTTTGGCTCCATTTACCAAGGTGCCATTTTGGTACATATTTGTGAGCCACAGCCATATTGCTGTGGGTTAGGGATTCCCCGGACAGAGCCAAGCCATGAAGGTATGCACTGGCTGGATGGGGCCGGTTACAAGGGGCGGACAGGGTAAAGAATAGGAAAAACATGGAAACGTGTTTGTTTGTTTTTGTTTGTTTGTTTGTTTGTTTGTTTGGATGGCTCACTTTGATCGAATGGGTCAAAGATTCCAGGGGCGATTGACGGGAGGACTGGAGGAGGAGGAGCGCGAGGAGGTAGACAGGGTAGTTTGCTTCTCCGTCTCCTTTCTGCTTCATCTCTCGGGCTTAGTTTTTGAGCGCGTGCAGTGAGGTGCCTCCTCCTCTTTGGCAGCAGCGTGGCGGAAGAGTTCTTCTCTCCCTACTATCCCAGAGTCCAGCACGAGTGGTTCCTGTACAGCTACCTCTTTGCGCGGGTGGTGCTGGTTCTGCTGAGTCGCTTTGGGGAGGGACTTTGGCAGGCGCCCGACGCCCGGTTTGGTCGCATGATGCAGATACCCATGGCTTTCCTCCATTGCGGACACAAATGGGTCGTTGTAAAGCAAGGCACTGGTTTTCTTTGAATGCCTGTGAGTTAATCAAGATGACGGCGAGCTGAAGGATGGTATCTTGTGTTTGGCATAGCTTGGTGACATATTTATACAAGTGTGATTTCGTGTTGACTCGGCAAGACGCGAACCGCAGGGTGCCTTCTTCTCTTGCACCGAGCTTTTGCATCGCGTTGCTCCGGCCAGGCCGTGCTGGTGTTGTCCCTCGCGTGCATGTTGCCGGACGACGTACTCTGGCTGCAGCTGTCGCTGAAGCTCCGCAGATTTCTGCGGGCTCAAGACCACATCATCAACTTCAAGGGCCTGCGCTGGGGTGCCTGGGGCCTGATAGTCACGTGAGCCACCTGCTCAAAACCCGGGGATTGATGAAGCTAAGGGACAATCTCCCCTTGCCATAGATATAGCTGCGGACATGTCCGCCTTCTTAACATTTCAACACCGGGGTTTTGCTTGTGCCTCACGTCCTGTGGCGAAAATCTGATTCACAATCCGCACATGGTGCCCTCTGCTCGAGCGTCTCCGCGGGAACCGGGCCGTAGCATCATGAAGCCATGAAGCAATCGCGATGGGCCTTTTTCTTAGGTCCGTTTGCTTGGAAATAGATGGGTTCCACTGGTTTAGATGCGGTTTTTAACTCCATTTAGTAGAAAGGGGAAGGACACCTGGCATAGGTGTCCTTTTTGGTATTCTGGCAAAAGAGTGGATGGCCCTGGTTTACCAGGTGCTTTACTCATCTACCAGGGCCATCCTTCTTCCCCCAATGTGGATGGACAAAATCCTGCACCACTTAGAAACCATAAAAACAAATGTTTGTTAGTATTTGCAGTGGAATCATCCTTCCAGGGTCTCCGAGGTGGTGCAGGATTTCGTCCATCCACAGTATGGACTCGAAGCCCTTTGGACCTTGGCCTGGCCTCGTTTTTCCCTTCTTCCCATCGAAGCATTTTCGTCTCGCCGCGCCAGCCACGCTCTTCGTGGCGGGGATATACCTCCTCTCCTACCACCTCACCCGCGCGGGGCTGCTGACGCGCTGCCGGCGCACGGGCGGGCGGCGGCTGAAAAACGCGGAGGCCTGGCTGGAGCGGCGCCTGGGCCAGGCGCTGCCTGGACTTCCGTCGAATCCGAGCCGTTCGAGCCGCAGCCATCGAGCTGGTGCAAAAATATGGGTGTGGGTCCAAAATGAATGAAGCCACCAGGAATTGGACCGCGGGTTTTAGTCTTTGGTTCTATGTACCAGGCTTCCATCCATTTTGGGTACCACAGCCATATATGTTCCTGGGCAAAAGGGACTGAAAAACCTGCAGTCCCATGGTGGTTTAGTTTTGACCCATACCCATCTGATCTCGACCTTGACAAGTCTCATGAGCTGCCAGCTACCTTTTGCCTCCCCTACTTCCATTGGGGCATTAAGGATATGCCAGTGTGCTTGGCGGAGCTGCTCGATTCGTTGAACCGTTGGAGTGTGTTCGTCCATGCGAACACAGACCGGAGGCCCAAAGGCCTTGAGTATCTTCAGACAAGTCCAAGTGTACAGGTTGGATGTGGCAACTGCTTTCAGACCTGTCCCAGATCTATTGCCATCCCTCAAAGGCATTGAAACACTAGACATGATCTTCTTCACTTGGGCTGCAAGGAGTGAAATGGTCATGTGCAGGCTGTTTTTTTTTTGTTCTCCACAGGGCTTTGTAGTTTGCGGGGATCAGGCGCCTTTTGCTGGATCGTTTCAAGTCCAAGGCGTACAGCCACGCGCCTCCGTTAGTTTAATGCTCATCCCATGCTGCACACAGGGAAACCCCTGGGCATTGTTGAGCTCAAGATCTCTGACTGACAAAGACCTCGCCCTTCTCAGCCAGTCACAAACTTGCTGGCGCTCAGGAAATGAGGGTGTTGGGAATGCACCGGAAGGGGATTCCCGAAAAAGCGGACACCCACCCGTTGGACTTTGGTTTCTGAAAAGGGGTCCTTTCAACTCGCTTCGCGCCTCGCGCTTCGCGCTTCGCGATCCCCGCGCTTCGCGATCCCCGCGCTTCGCGATCCCCGCGCTTCGAAGGCCAGGGGCTTGCGCGCGAGCCTCTGCCTGGCCTGCTGGGTCTTGTACCTGGCGCTGTCGCTGGTCTCGGGCATCGATCCCAAGCTGGGCCTCGGACGCTTCGGCGGCCTGGCGAGGAGAGATGAGCGGCTCAGGAGGTAAACACCGTCTTTTTTCGGGCTGAAGCGAGGGGGCCGGGAAGGAGAAATGGAATGACCATTGGTTTCCGTTCTTCGCGAATTCACTTCTGGGTTCACCAGCGAGTTTTTTCCGGAGGTCGGCTGCAGGGATGCCGCTATTCGGAGAAACAAATCACCACCCAAGGCTACCAGGATGGATTCCAGGCGGTCTACAAAGAGGGCAATGATTGGACGCTGGCGAGCCACAGTGGCTTGGTTGCAGATTTGTTTTGCACTGCTTGCAATCAAAGGAGAGCACAAGTGCAATCATTCACACGGACCTTGGCGAATAAATGGAACGACCAACTGGGTGTGGGTCAAAATTAAACCACCAGGGGACCACACGTTTTGGTCCATGTTGCCACTTACCAGGGTTCCATTTTGGGTACCTATTTTTGACTCACAGTCAAGTAGCTTACTTGCCGTTTCGGCGATTCGGGCTGAGAGTGTGTGCGAAAGACGTGTTCTTTCGCAGGCGTGTCCTGGCACTACATGACGCATCCCTCCTTGATGGCATACGTGCTCCTGTGGCGCCCTGGCGAAGGGGTTCCCTTTTGATCCTGAAGTGGTAAACCTTGGCTCTTCGCATGAGGCGACTGCCAAAAAGCTTTAATGATCTCCGGAGCATTCTCTGATATTCTCTGATTCTAGAATGGTCCACACCAGAAGTAAGTCACTTTGCTGATCTTCTGGGTGCTTTTTTGGCTCGCTTGCGTGGGCTATTTCGTTTCGGGCCAGGGCCGAAGCAGATCATTCTGACTCTGACTTCGTTTTTTTCCATAGTGCTCATTTGGGCTGTGGCTCAAAAATTGGGTAACCCCAAAACGGGTTGCCCTGGTAAATGGACACATGGGACGATTTCACCTGCGGTCCAATTCCTGGTTTCATTTTGACCCATCCCCATTTGAGCCACAATTAAAACCCGATAGATGAAGGTTAGTAAGGGACAATCCCAACCATAAGTAGCTGTGGCCGCCTTCTCAATTCTTGAAGCATGGTTCTGGGATTACGACCATTTCACTACCGGGTTTTGAGCAAGTGACTCATGAGTGATTCTCGCCTTAGGATCGGCGAGCTGCTGCAGAACCTTCTGCCCTGCGTGGCAGTTGGGGTGGCCATGGCGCTCATGCCTTGGCACTTCAAGACCATGGGCAGCACTTGTTTCGGTGCGCGCGGGGCTGGGGATGGGGGTCCGCAGGTCCGGAGAAAGGGGGGGGGTGGGGTCTGGTGGGAGCCCTTTTGGCGCAAGAGCACAGGCGTTCGCCGACGATGACCAGACTGGAAGCATGCAGCAAGCTTCTTCTTTCCGCGGGAGACATTATAGAGGAACCTGTTTGCAGTTTATTCAGAGACACCCGGAATCCCTGATTGCGGTGATTTCCATGGCGTTGTTCCTGTTGCGGCAAGCTGGCTTCAGAGTCCAGCAGCCTTCCATTTTTTTGCCGATGTGTGGCGGTGAGTTCATCAAGCTGGTGTTTCCTGCTTCGAAGCCGGTTGATGCGCTGTATGTTCGGGGGACCGAACAAAAGGAAACGGCACTGCCACACGATGTGGCTGTGGGTCAAAACCAATGGTACCATTTTGGGGGTAGGTGAATTCACCACCCATTGTAGTCCATTTTAGTGGTTGGATTGGTTGATCTTCACTGGACGGGCTTTGGCTTTTGACCCATGTGAATTTTGCAGGGAACTACGTGATCCACGTCTACCTCGCTCAGTTCTCCCACTTTGCGGAGCAGCCGGTGCTCTCTCGCATCACCCGACCAGAGTGGGGCCTCAAGGTGTGGCAGTGTGGCGAGACGGTGGATGCTTGCCTGGTGGCCAGCGGTAGAAATGGGAATCCAGGTCTTTGTGAAAAGTGCGGCTTGTGACGACATGAAGGCAGATACCTCTGACCAGAGGTAAGGTTTTTTTCGGCTCTGATGTTTGTCACGGGCAGGTGAACTTTGTGATTACCTTCTCGTATAACATCATCGTCTGCCTCTTGCAGCTCGGCCGCAGACGCACAAACACGGCTTCCGCACCTAGATTCGAAGCGTTGGCATGTTGGCTTTGGGATTTGGAACGAAGGTGGGCCAGGATCCGGCGTTGGGCGATCGTGAAAACTCTGCCAAGGGAACTCCTCGCGCAATTGCGAGCAGCTCACATGTACACAGTTTGCTAACGCACCAGCTTTGACGTTCCTGGTGTGACAATCAACCCCCAATTTGGTCGCCGTTTTGGGCACGTGCTTGTGTGAGCGCCTGTTGCCGGCGCGGAGGTTTGCCCACACGGTGGGGGTGGCCTTCCACCACTTGCTGGTGGGCGTGATGAAGGCCTTCACCGCCCTGCTGCAGAGGAAGAAGGGCTGAGGCAAGGGATGCCTCGCGTGCGAAGCCAGGAATTGGACCGCAGGTTGCCCGCCAGGTTCCATTTACCAGGGCAAGCCATTGTGGATACCCCTTTTTTGACCCACATGCGATGTGTGCGACGCGCTTGTCCAGTCCTTTGCCTCGGATGTCGGGATGCTGGCAGAAGAATCGAGGTGACCCTCAGCTACGAATGATGGTGATACCCATGTCCCGGTTGATCGGCACATTAACATGTTGCTCCCATGTACCGGTTGATTTGGAGATGCAACCTGCTCTGTGCCTGTCTCCGCTTCTTCTTTTGTGCCATTTTTTTTTTTTAAAGCTCTGCTACCTGATGGGCAACTGAGCTCTTGGTGAACCAATGCATTGGACGCGTTGATGTGCCACTTGCATCAGGTAAGCCACAATCAATACCCACGTAGAAGAAGCTTGTCCCAACCATGAGCAGTTGCAGCCACCTTGTCAATTCTCACGCCTTTGGGAGTACCCGGTTTTGATTATGACTCTCGTGGCCCAAGTAAAGTCAATGGGTTCCAAGCATGTACAGCCGTGGGGCTTCCAGCTTCAGGCGAGCAGCTTTGCGCTTCGCCAAGCAGATTGCGCTCCGTGCTGCGTGCGGCAGGGGGTTGCTACGTGCCGCGGGGCTTTTTTTTGTGCCAAAGCACAAGGGACGCTGTGCGGAGGATTTTTCCGAGCATGGCGCCATGCTCGTAGCCTGCGGTGCCCTGCGGCAATGTAGCTACCCCTTCGGCAGTTTCGGACTCGCCCCCTTTTTGGAGCTTAAGCTGAGGCGCTTTGGCCTTGCGAGAGAGGTGCCCGAATGGGACGAGAGCGTAGATCTCGCTTTCGAACTCGCCACTTCAGCGTGGCTGCAAGCAGAGCAAAAAAAAGAGGCGCCGGAAAGGCGAGCAGGGCTGAAGAGTCCGAAAGTGAGCTGGGATCTTCACGCCGCTTGCGGGCTTCGAGAGCTTTCGGAGATGTTTTTGCATGGAGGGAGCCAAGAACCGCAACGGGGGGCGTTGACAACAGTTTTTCCTGGATGCGACAGAGGCTTTTCATCGAATAAGGGAAATGGCCTGCAAGACGGTGCCAGTCGTGCGCCAGCTTACATACTTTTCCGTGGGCAACATATTTTGCATTTCTTGGTTTCGCGGCATGAACATCATACATCTGGCTGCTCAAAATTCAAGAGCAAGGGTTACGAAACCGGTTTTAGTCTTTGGTTCCATTTACCAAGGTGTCATTTTGGTACATTTATGTGAGCCGCGCCCATCTGGCTCTTACTACACTCGTCACTTGCTGAGGTCCACTCACGAGGAGGACGTTAGGCTGCAGGCGCGAGATGGACAGACGGAGGGGCCATGCCTGAGGCCATTGCTTACAATGTTCCCCGTGGAAGGGAATCCCCTTTGTCCCTTAATATACTAGAAGTTGATAAAGAAATTGAAGTGTTTTTAGCAAGCATCAGTCAAATATAGAAGATCAGAATGGTTGACGCCCCAGTTTTTGCCAGGTGCTTGAGCCATTGCCAGTGCCAGGAAAGGTTGTCTAATAGGTCCAGCCACGGGTGCACGGGTGCACGGGTGCACGGGTGCACGGGTGTACGGGGGGCACGAGGGCACGCAAAGGGCGAGCGTGTTTTGCCGTGCCAGGTCATCTAGGTACTTCAAGCCAGGTGGTTTGGATGCGGTGCTGAAGCCATTCCATTCAGCCCATTAACCAGGTGCGCAACGCGCGCGTCCGGCGCCAGGAGCGGGTCAAGCCCAGGAGCCCTGAGAAGCCATCCGCGCTGGGGTGGCCCAGCGCGGGTGTTTTTCTCCGTTTGGTTGGCTTATTGGAAGCGTCGCTACGAGAAATCAAAGTCTTTGGGTTCCGGGGGGAGTATGGTCGCAAGGCTGACACTGAAAGGAATTTGACTCAACACGGGGAAACTTACCAAGTCCAGACATAGTAAGGATTGACAGATTGATAGCTCTTTCTTGAGGATCGGGCTTGAGGGGCATTGTAAACTAAGTTCAGAGCAATGGAACTTGTGGCTTTGTCAGTTGTGCGAAAGATACGGCGTTTGCAGTTGCCTCACAAAGACGCGGGCAAGTTAGTAGTACACCAGGCGACGCGGCACGCTGGTGCAGACTTACGACGAAATGGACTGGGAGAAGGCTTTCCGCATTCTTCGTGTCAGCTAATATGCTGCGTGAAGCAAACTGTTTCCAGCCCAAATTTATGCGTGAGCTCCGTCTCCGGGTATGATGTGTGGCTAGTTATGCTTGCCAAACACAGTTGCAATGGTGGAACCAACTTTGCACAGAGGCTGGACAAGTCTACTGTCAGTGCTACGCGGTGTATGCCTGCACAATCGTCAGGCTTATCTGCCGGCCAAGCCGAGCGAGATGATGGGGCACCCAGATCAGGTGTTGTTTTTGATTGGCTGCGAAAGAGCACGATCTTCACTCCACATGTGTTTCTGGAGTCGTTGCTTGGTATATTTGCGTGGACGTGCCTTGTCTAATGCGTGGAGGGCTCCCATAGCAGCCATCTCAGGAGATGCTCCCGCGGGAAGGCAGGAGATGTGTTGACTTGCCAGGGTCGAGTTGCGGTTTGTGCACACACACACAAACCGCGCACACACACACACACACACACACACACACACACACACACACACACACACACACACACACACACACACACACACACACACACACACACACACACACACACACACACACACACACACACACACACACACACACACACACACACACACACACACACACACACACACACACACACACACACACACACACACACACACACACACACACACACACACACACACACACACACACACACACACACACACACACACACACACACACACACACACACACACACACACACACACACCCACACGCACACGCACACGCACACGCACACGCACACGCACACGCACACGCACACGCACACGCACACGCACACGCACACGCACACGCACACGCACACGCACACGCACACGCACACGCACACGCACACGCACACGCACACGCACACGCACACGCACACGCACACGCACACGCACACGCACACGCACACGCACACGCACACGCACACGCACACGCACACGCGCACGCGCACGCGCAGCGCGTGCGCGCACGCGCACACGCGCGCACGCGCGCACGCGCACACGCGCACACGCGCACACGCGCACACGCGCGCACGCACACGCACACGCACACAAACCGCACACAAGCCGCACACAAACCGCGCACACACACACACACAAGCCCCGCGTTCTTTTGCAGCACCTGGGGTGCGGCTATCGCGGCAAGTCTGCTGCGGCTTCGAACCTCAACAGCTCGGCCCGGTTCGAATTGGGGGCAGCCGGTCGGCTTTCCAGGTGCTGTCATTTGCGGAGCCGCAGGAGCGCGGCGTGTGGCCATCGCTTCTTATCTTCATCCCGTGAATTGCAAAGAACCCTGGTCATCCCATCATCCCTCCCTGGCCATTTTTTCATGGTGTTTCTTTTTTTTTGGGGGGGGGGGGATTTCCTTTGGTTCCTGTTGCCAACCAAATGGGAGGGCGTTTTTGTGCAGGACTCTGTTGGGAATTGCTCCCTTCTCTCAGGAGCTCCGCGTGGAGGCGCAGGGCGCGCCGCCAGGCGGGGAGAGCGCCCGGAGCATCCCGGAGACCCGGAGATCCGAAATGATATTTGAGATCAGCTGGTATTGGTTTGTATGGGTTGATGTGGGTTGGGGCTGGTGGTGGTTGCGAAATCCATTTCGCACCACGACCTTAGGTGGTGCAGGATTTCGTCCATCCACAGTATGCCGGGCGGGTAAAGGCCGCCGACAGTCAAACATGGTTTGGGAACAGACACACACACAAACACAGACCACACACACACACACGGGCACAGACACAGACTCGCACACACACACACACATCCAGTCTAAGTAGCAGAGCTAGAGAATGGTCAACTTTGGAGAGGCCCCCAACGTGTACCAAGATTTCGCAGACAATCAGGGTTCGCTCAAGCTCAGGCAAGTTGGTGACTTCTTCAGATGTGAGAAACTTTAGGCGGAATCGGCTGGGACATTTGTGCGTTCGATTTTCTATCTTTCGTGCTGGCTTGGCTGGATGCCAGGCTCTTTTGGGGCTTTTTTCAAGGTGGCCTTTTAGGACATGCTGGCGCCCCCGAACTCGCCCTGCGCCCCGAACAGCAGCTGACAGGCCGCGCTGAGCACCGAGAGGTAGCCGCTTGGAGTATAGTGCAGAATGCGACGGTGCAACATCAATCCTTGAACTTGTTTTCTATTCTATATCCCCGCCACAGCAAGAGTCGCAACGTTTCTGAGGCAGCAGCAAACAACTCAAAAAGAAGCGCACATGTACAAACCAAGCACGACAAAAAGGGGCCCGGCATAGCTCTCCCGGGCTACCTAGGTGGTACCAGAGCATTCTCTTAAGCCCAACGCTGACTCAATTTGAAGTTGGGCTTGATCTGCGAAGACCAACTTTCCTCGGGGGCTTGTGCTCAATGTCACGTAACAAGACCGCCCACTTGTCAGGAAGCAATTAAAGGAAGGTGAGGTCATGCTCTTGCTGAGATTGAATAACATTCCACCCATCCAATGGAAGTTCTTCCTTTGTTGCACATCCCCCTATTGCGCCGATGGGTAGAACTGACCAGGGATCGCCGGAGCAGTTTTGCTGCTCAAAATGAGAAATGGAATGGCCCTTCCATCCAACCGCTGGTTTCCCTGGGCTCCTTTTCCCACCTTCCCTACCACTGATCGCCGGCTTTTCTCTCACGCGAGGCCAGCGCGCTGGAGCCGGACGCCCAGCACGCCGCGCGCGGCGCGCGTGCTCCGTCGGTCGGGCGCCGTCGCTCTGCTTGGGAGGCCGCGGAAGGAGCCGGGCCTGGGCGCCGTGCCCGAGCTCCCGGCGTTCCAACGCTTGGCGCCGGTCCGGCAGGACGTGTCAAGAAACCGATGAGACAT